TTAATACTTTATTATAGACAATAGCACTGGAATATGACATATCCGATGGTTTATCTATAGTGCGGACAATAGGTTGCGAAGACTCGGTCGAGTCGGCGGAGACAGCACTCGACAGATCGTAATACACGAAGAGATCCCACTATATTCATAAGCATGCCTTGTTAATTAGTCTTAATAATTTCACCTTGTCAAATTCTTACGTATTCCCAATCAGGTTCGGCAGCATCAGTGGCCGTGTATTCCATAAATGATGCAAAACCTTCATTGAGCCACAGGTCGCCCCAGAATTCACAGGTCAGCAGATTTCCAAACCACTGAAATATTTGATACATTCAGATATTCAATACCTCATATTCATTAGCACTAAATCATTGTCTCATTTATATAATGCTCACCATATGTGCCAATTCGTGAGCTATAATAGACGTGACACTCATTTTGGTGGCACTCGTGTCCTCTTCGGGTGTCCACAGAAGTGCAGTCTCTCTGAACTTAACTAAACCCCAGTTCTCCATCGCACCGGCACTGAAGTCGGGGATGGCCACCAAATGGGACTTAGGGAGAGTGTACGGGTAGTCTAAGTAGGTTTCAAATTGTTTAAACACTTTGGGCGTCATATCCAAAGCGTATTGAAGTTTGTATTCTTTGACAGGAGAGGCACACACGTGGATCTTATAGCCAAAACTCTGTGTGTCTGACCGACAGACAAAATCACTGACCATAATAGCCACCAAATAGGTGACCATCTTTGGTGTGCGATTGTATGTAGTGGTAGTCCAGCCGGTGAAAGGAGAGTCCTCTTGGATTTCTTTGGTATCCATATTAGTGACGGTGAGAGTGTTGGCGTTGTCGTGGATTATAGTGATGTCGAACTCCGGTTTAAAGGAGGGCTCATCGAAAGAGGGAAATGCTTTGCGAGCGGACGTCGACTGGAACTGAGAGGCCGCCAAACCTATGGTCTTACCGTCTCTCTCATAGGAACTCCTGTAGAGACCGGACAGACCGCCCAGAAGTAGATTGGATTCGTAGTCAAAGATCAACTTATATTTATTGGGCGCCGCCTTTTCAGACAATCTGATCACAAAGAACTGAAGGGGAGAATAGCGGAAGGTTTCCTTTACCCCCACTTTATTACCATTTTGTTCGACTCGAGTTTCTTTGATGGTCAGTATGTCTGAGGCGTGAACTATAAAGTAATCAAGGTCCTTCTCTGTAGTCACATCGATCTCAACGCTTCCGTTAAATAGATTTGTCTCAGTATTCACTTGTAGTTTAAGAGTATATAAATCGGGAACCACTTGTCGGTCGAGACGGTATACAATCCAGGGACAGATCTCTTTGGGACATAGGGTTGTAATCCATTCGACAAAAACCGATTTATAATTCTTAATCCATTGGATGTTTGTGTCCAATACTTCAATAGCCTTCTCTCTGTCCAGTTTACCGGTGCCTGCATTTGGGTATAACTTGAAGAAATCCAATACCTCTTCCTTTTGTTTATAAATCTTGTGAAGCCTCGGATACAAATGCTAGCGTTATATCCTTGTTATCAAAATTCTTGTAATATGAGAGCGGAATCGTCCAAACGGTCCTATTATTCAGTATTAGGTCATAATCACAATTATAATGTCTTATAATAATTATTTATTTAAAATATAAAACATACTCTGTTTCGTCTGATTTTCCATTAGACAAGAATCTGCTTTGTTTTAGAGTATATGTATTTCCCGTTCCTTTAGTTATATTAATATAAGGAAAGCCTGCTTTTGTGGTCCACGACTCCATTAAATCGTCAAGAATTGGATTTGGAGATGGCTATCAATTCATAAATATTTTACTTTAAACCTGTATTATGGTTACAACAATGGATTCTTACAAAATCAGTTTCGTAAAACGTTTTCAATGCAAACATGAGATCTTGAGTGACAACATTCTGGTATTTATTAGTATTGAGATAATTTTGGATTCCTTTCTGGAAGTTATCCGGAGTTTTCAGATTAATAACAAACTCAAGCATTCGTATTACAGTCGAGCCCTACATACAAATGAATTATAAAGTGTTACCGGTATTATTTTATAAAATTAAAAATAGTCTTAATTATAAGGTTTGTGCCCACCTTTGAATAGACTATAGAACTGGAGTATTGCATAACGTCTTGAGGTGTCTTCACTTCCCTCACCAATGGATGCGATGTCTCTAATGAGTCCGCATTCAAAGCCGTCATATAATCGGATATTAGGAATAATTCTTCCTAAAAGTGATTTAAAATCAAAATTACATTATTATTATAATTATATTTATATGTATGTCCACAAAACTCATTGCAGACTCAATGCATACATATTTCCAATCGGGTTGACTCGCGGCTACGGCTTTATACTCAAAGAAAGTGGCGAAACCCTCGTTGAGCCAGAAGTCTGACCACCACTCGCATGTCACCAGATTTCCAAACCACTAATCAATTACAAGTTATCAACAGTTAATAAAATTTTAATTTAGCACTCAATATCAGATAATTACAAAGTGTGCCAACTCGTGAGCGATAACCGCCAACACAGACATCTTATTGGCGGAAGTGCTGTCTTCGTCGCTCCAAACGAGTCTCATCTCTCTGAAGGTGACTAAACCCCAGTTCTCCATCGCTCCGTACGAGAAGTCAGGGATGGCTATCATATCTACTTTAGGCAACGGGTAGTCTATTCCAGTGTACACTTTAGCCAAATAATTCAAACATTTCTTCGTTGAGTCCATTGCGAAGTCCAGTTTATGGCTTTGGACGGGTGAGGCGCACACACCTACACCCTTACCATCGACTGTATCGGTTTTGCAGTCAAAATCGCTGACAACCATTGCCACCAAATAGGTAACCATATTGACAGGAGTCTCGTTATACTCAGTGGTCACCCAATCAGTGTCCGGGTCAGAACACCCTTACCATCGACTGTATCGGTTTTGCAGTCAAAATCGCTGACAACCATTGCCACCAAATAGGTAACCATATTGACAGGAGTCTCGTTATACTCAGTGGTCACCCAATCAGTGTCCGGGTCAGTGGTCTCTTGTTTAATATCCATATTGGAAAGGGTTGTCTTCATGTGTTTGTCGTGTATTATCGTCACCTCAAACGTGGACTTAAACGACGGCTCATCAAAACAGGGGAAGGCTTTGCGGGCGTCTGTGAACTCGAATTGAGTGGACGCCAGCCCTACCGTCTCATTGTCTTCGTTCACGTAACTACTTCTGTAGAGTCCGGACAGTCCGCCCAGAAGTAGGTTGCCTTCAAATTCATACACCAGTCGATAGGTATTTGCTTCGACAGGTTGTGCCAATTGGATGACCCAAAAGTCGTGCGGTTTATAGCGGAATGTCTTAACGACAGGAATCTCTGTATTACTTGATTTGAGAAACACTTGACTTTTGGTGACATTGAGTATAGAGGAGGCGTGGACTATGAAGTACTGGACGGCAAACTTGGCCTCCACTTCAATCTCGACACTTCCGTTGTAGACATTTGTGGTGACATTCACTTGGATTGTGGGCTTGTATTTGATTGGCTTAACATTGGCGTCGAGTCGGTATACACTCCACGGACAGTCCTCATCGCCGCACTATTTATGCAATATTTAATTAAAAATATTCCGATAATATAATTATCTAGATGAAACTATGTTTGCAATCCTCACCCCATTCTGTGCCAACCACTGGCCAATTGTATCGCTTTTTTCGAAAATCCAATCGATATTAGTTTGGATTCGTTTCAATGCATTGTCACGAGTAGTGTTGGATAGACCGACGTTTGGATAGAGTTTTAAAAATGTATCCACCTAATTTTAATATATAAATAATTAGTTTATTAAACTTTGCAATTTTTAATTACAAAGACTTACTTCACTTCGTTTGACAACATCTCCGAAGTATTTGATAATATTATTGAAAGCGTTGGACAAGTCGTTTGAACTGAGTTTTCGAGTAAGCATTTCGTAATTACTTGTGAAGAAATCCCAGACAACGGGTAAGCCTTCGGGAGTTTTTGCCATTTCTGACAATACACTTGTGAAGTGAGACACCGACACCTTTCTGTCGTCTAGAGATCGCTCTAAAAGACTAATTTAAACAAAAAATCAAATTTAATATTATTGACTACTGTATGTTTATAATAAAAAGACTAACTTTTTCAATAGTTCCGGGTCCTTAGTCTTTGTGAGAGAGTTTATATAACTTTGTTTAAAATTGTTGGTTTTGTCTGTTTTAAGGTATGTCTCCCAAACAAATTCAAAATCTTCTGAACCAGTGCTCTGTCTTATGCCAAATGATAGCACATATGACGCCAGATTAGGACTCAATTTTTGAGTGGATTTCCATTTTGTGAACTCTTTGTAGGCGTCTTCGAGACACTGTTGGGATCCGCTGTCGCAACTCATCTCCACAATCAAAGCCCTCAACCGTTTGATGGAGTCATTGCCCTGGTTATCATCCCATCCCAATCGGGTGTATTGTTTTTGTGTCAAATAATTCAAATACAAATTCAAACTATCCCTGTACTGACTCATTGAGAGCCTGTCCCTGGTATCCTGATCAAACATACTCCTGTACATAGACCAGGGGGTAAAGTGTGGTTCATTTACGAGATATTTAGAGATATTGTATGCCATAAGGAGAGGTAGTTTATCGGCTTTTGCCAAATAGAAAGCGTCTAAAATAAATTGAGCACGGTCACCAGGTGTCAGCTTCCCTAAAATATTATCCGTATTCTTCACTAAAGCATCGCCCCATTTGGTCCAGTCATCGATGGGGTAGTTCACAAAATACATGCCCCTGTAGTCGGCGTTAAACTTGATTAAACCGTTGAGGTTTGTGTCAATATCTTCGAGAGTGATTGTCTGTGTTTTGTCTTTAAGTACTGTTACTTTTATGCCTTCCAAGTCAGCAGTATTATAGTATGAGAGTGGAATTTGCCAGATTGTGCTAGATCAAATGATATATAGTAATTCCTATCTTACTAAAAAATAAGCTCATTATTATATCTTACTCTTTTTTAGGCGTATCACCATTTGATAGGAATCTCTCCTGAGTTATAGTAAATGTATTGGGATCGGCATCATCACGAGTTATATTAATGTAGGGGAAGCCAGCCTCTCGCACCCAGTTATCCATCAACTTATACATATCTGTGTCCAGGTCCTGTTTTATGATTAAAATTAATAAAATAATACTTTTATATTATAGTATTATAATTACTTGAGGAATAGTCTCATTGAGGTATTGCCATAAGTTCTCAGTGATAACTGTCTGATATTCATATTTCTTAAGATAGTTTCGGATTCCCTCTTGAAATCCGGATTTTCCAGATTTATCAGTCATTGCAAACTCCATCATTCGGATCACTGTTGAGCCCTTTAATTGACAAGAATTTAAGTAATGTATAGTCAAATAATATATAAGATATTAATACTTTATTATAGACAATAGCACTGGAATATGACATATCCGATGGTTTATCTATAGTGCGGACAATAGGTTGCGAAGACTCGGTCGAGTCGGCGGAGACAGCACTCGACAGATCGTAATACACGAAGAGATCCCACTATATTCATAAACATGCCTTGTTAATTAGTCTTAATAATTTCACCTTGTAAAATTCTTACGTATTCCCAATCAGGTTCGGCAGCATCAGTGGCCGTGTATTCCATAAATGATGCAAAACCTTCATTGAGCCACAGGTCGCCCCAGAATTCACAGGTCAGCAGATTTCCAAACCACTGAAATATTTGATACATTCAGATATTCAATACCTCATATTCATTAGCACTAAATCATTGTCTCATTTATATAATGCTCACCATATGTGCCAATTCGTGAGCTATAATAGACGTGACACTCATTTTGGTGGCACTCGTGTCCTCTTCGGGTGTCCACAGAAGTGCAGTCTCTCTGAACTTAACTAAACCCCAGTTCTCCATCGCACCGGCACTGAAGTCGGGGATGGCCACCAAATGGGACTTAGGGAGAGTGTACGGGTAGTCTAAGTAGGTTTCAAATTGTTTAAACACTTTGGGTGTCATATCCAAAGCGTATTGAAGTTTGTATTCTTTGACAGGAGAGGCACACACGTGGATCTTATAGCCAAAGCTCTGTGTGTCTGACCGACAGACAAAGTCACTGACCATAATAGCCACCAAATAGGTGACCATCTTTGGTGTGCGATTGTATGTAGTGGTAGTCCAGCCGGTGAAAGGAGAGTCCGCTTGGATTTCTTTGGTATCCATATTAGTGACGGTGAGAGTGTTGGCGTTGTCGTGGATTATAGTGATGTCGAACTCCGGTTTAAAGGAGGGCTCATCGAAAGAGGGAAATGCTTTGCGGGCAGACGTCGACTGGAACTGAGAGGCCGCCAAACCTATGGTCTTGCCGTCCCTCTCATAGGAACTCCTATAGAGACCGGACAGACCGCCCAGAAGTAGATTGGATTCGTAGTCAAAGATCAACTTATATTTATTGGGCGCCGCCTTTTCAGTCAGTCTGATCACAAAGAACTGAAGGGGAGAATAGCGGAAGGTTTCCTTTACGGCCACTTTATTACCATTTTGTTCGACTCGAGTTTCTTTGATGCTCAGTATGTCTGCGGCGTGAACTATAAAGTAATCAAGGTCCTTCTGTGTGGTCACATCGATCTCAACGCTTCCGTTAAATAGATTTGTCTCAGTATTCACTTGTAGTTTAAGAGTATATAAATCGGGAACCACTTGTCGGTCGAGACGGTATACAATCCAGGGACAGGTCTCTTTGGGACATAGGGTTGTAATCCATTCGACAAAAACTGATTTATAATTCTTAATCCATTGGATGTTTGTGTCCAATACTTCAATAGCCTTCTCTCTGTCCAGTTTACCGGCGCCTGCATTTGGGTATAACTTGAAGAAATCCAATACCTCTTCCTTTTGTTTATCGTCAGTAAATTGAGTGCTCAATGAATATACAATTCGACCCAAATTAGAGCTATTAATCGTGAATCTGCATAAAAATTAGAAATTATTTACATTTAACTTAAAACCATGTAACAATAATAACTTTCATACATTTCAACAATTTTATCGTAATTCTGTCGGTAGTAATCCCAAACCAAATCTCTTCCCAACCGACTATTTAATGCAATATTTGTCAAGAATGAGAAAAAGTCGTGTTTTCGGACAAATGTCTCATCGAGTGCTTTATCTAAAAGTCTGGGAAAAAGCAAAAATTGTTTGAATAAAACACTAATTAAATTGTAAAATAGAAAGGACTAACTGTTTGATGAGATCTGGATTAGAAGTGGCGGTTAATCCCTGCAAATAAAGCAACTTTTCTTGTGCTGAATTGGTTTTCTGGTATTTATCTAACAAATAATTGAATTCATCGGCGGTACTACTCTGTCGTATACCATATTTCAACACCAGTGACAACAAATTGGGAACAATGGTAGCCCCTCCTTTCCATTCATTAAACTTTTGTGATGCTGTTTGCAAACACTCTGTCTTTTGATAGCCACACGCAATGTCCAACACTACTGTACGAAGCCTTTTGATTTGAGCTTGGTCTTCATCCTTTTCCTCCCAGCCCAGTTTGTCGTATTGGGTGCTAATGATATCGTTTATGTAGTAATTGAAAGCAATCCCAGAGTCGGGAGATGTTAAGGTCTTTATGAATGAAAACATAGTCTGTGCGGTAGTCCATGGGATCAATGAGTCCTCGCGTTTGAGATATTTAGACAAATCTAATGCTATTTGATAGTCAAGTCGTCCACTTCTGGCCAAATAGAAGGCATCATTGATTAGTGCCGATCGATCTAATGGTGACAATTGGCTCAATACAACACTTTTCTCATCAGACAATTCTTGGGCCCAATTCTTCCAATCACTCGTCGGATAGTTAACGATATAAAGACCCGTTTGATCCACATTTAACTTCACTAAATCTGATGAAGTTTTCAATTCAACAGTTTTCTCACTTTCCTCTAACCATTCGGTGTATGTCTCGCCTCCCAGTGCTTTGTAAGTGATCGGGATTTTCCAGATATAGCTATAAATAAATTATAGATAATGTCATTAAAAATAAAAATAACTCAAAATAAGTTTTTATAGTTAAAACATCAATTGCAATTTACTTTGTTTCCGAAGTTTTCGAGTCTTTAAGAAACAATTCTTGTTTAAGAGTAACTTTATTGGAGGCACTGGTGCTTCGAGTGACGGTCACCACTGGAAACCCCTTTCTTCTAACCCAAGTGTCCATTATTTCAGAAACATTTAATCTCTTTATAGAAATTTTAAACATTATAAACTCATTCAAACAAATGAATAACAATAGAAATTACTTGTGGGTTGGCATCAGTCAACTTTTCCCAGAGGTCAGCCGTCAATGTGTTGTTATACTGGTATGTATCCAGATAGTTTTGAATACCTGTCTGAAAATATTGGGCACCTAATGCTGTTTCCAACATTCTCAGGATTGCAGCACCCTGAACAGTTATCATTTATTTTATTAAACTTTGTTTTAAAAATATTTTACGAAATATACAAACCTTTCCATAAGTGATGGCATCAAAGACTGAAGAGATATCGTCTGCGTTCTGAACGGAGGCCAGGATTGGGTGAGTATTGGGTGTAGAGTCGGCCTCAAACACCCGGGCCAACTCATCTAATGCTATAATATCCTCCTTTTGTTACATTTAAATAAGTATTAATAATTCTTTTAAAGATGTTTTGGTATGAGTTGTAAAACTTACATATTTCCAGTCCTTCTCTACCTGTCCCACAGCTTTGTATGACATAAACGTTGCAAAGCCTTCGTTTAACCACAAGTCGTCCCACCATTTGGTTGTCACCAGATTCCCGAACCACTGATTGGTAACACATTTATTTTTAGTGTTTATTATAATATTTATATTATCATAATATATTTCATGAAGACTTGAAATGTTTAAAAGTTTAAATTAACATTTAATACATTTAAATATAAACTTTACATTTAACTTATAAAGGGTGGAAATTTAGTATTCACTTAAAATTAGTGAAATAAATGTCAAACTCATACCATATGTGCCAATTCGTGTGCAATGATCATACAGACTCTCATCTGATCCCTTGTGGTGGACTCCATCGCGTCATAAAACAGATATATTTCTCTATAAGTAACTAAACCCCAGTTCTCCATCGCACCGGCACTAAAGTCAGGTATTGCTATGTTATCCAATTTAGGCAAAGGATACTTTATTTTAAAATAATCCTTTTCGTAATATTCAAGTATTTTAGGGGTTCTGTCCAAAGCGTAGCCCAGTTTGGCCTCATTACCCGGTGCGCCGCACACCTGTACTCGCGAGTCCTGTCCACTGGGGAAGCATTCAAACTCACTGACTACTAGTGCCACCAAATATGTGACCATCTTCTCAGATACACTGAATTTTGTCACTCTTTTTCCATCAGTATCTGTGGTCCCGACGACCGGCATATTAGAGATGGCATTGTATTGTGTGGAGTGAGTGACAGTAATATCAAAAGTGGACTTAAACTGTGTCTCATCGAAGCAGGGAAGGGCTTTCCGGGCATATGTCGACTGGAACTGAGTGGTGGCCAACCCTTTCTGCTCATTATTAGCATCGGTATAGACACTCTTGTAAAGTCCGTTCAGTCCAGTACTCAGTTTGCCATTGAATTCAATGTTCAAGTGGTAGATACCGGACCTTATAGTCGAATCGGTGGGTATTATTAAGAAGTCATTGTCCGGGTAATAAAAATGATTGATGTTTTCATTCAGGGAATTTTCATCGGGACTATTTATGTCTCCAGAATATGCTTTGGCCGCCGTTACTGTCAGATCTTTTGCGTGAAGTATAAAATTATTTATAGGTTTCTTGACATTCACTTCGATTCTAACGGCGCCCTTAAATGTATCGCTAACCAGATCCACATCCCAATCAACTTTATAAGCCTCTGGTATGATTTGTGAATCCAATCGCCAGTTAAGCCATGGGTTGTTTAACTGGCTGTTTTCGTCCAACCAGATCACCACATCACTCTCATGGGTTTCCAACCATTTTATGTTATTCTTTACCCTTTCCAGTGCCTGATTTCGGGCGTTCTGAGTGGCACCCGATTCCGGGTTATCCGCAAAGAATATCTCCATTTCCTTTTGTTGTGTCTTTGTATTGAAATTATAACAAACCGATGATATATAAGAACCCAATCGGCGGTCATTAATAGTGAATCTCTCGACCAAATTCTTCCAGTTGTCTCTCATGTAATTCCAAACCAATTGCTGTCCCACAAGACTATTGCCGGCAATACTCTGCTGGACACTGAAGAAGTCCTGGTCATTGACTATGGAGGGGTCGTTCGTATATGATATCAATTTTGAGAGCAATTGAGAGTCGGAAACACTGGTCAATGCATTGAGTAGTTTAGATCTCTCAGAGGCGGACACATCCGTCCGCCACAAATCCAACACATGGTTCCAGTCGTTGTCATCTTTGCTCACTTGCATCCCATACTCGTACGCGTATTCCCTGATGTCCGCACCGATAGGCTCACCGGTTGTCACAAAGTTTTTGAACCGACTGTAAGCCTCCTGAAGACAATCTTGATTACCACTACTGCACGCCAGAGATATTATCTGATTCCTCAGCAGTCTATAAAGTAATTATGTTTTAATTTATTTTTAAAAGTGATTTAAATAATCTTCAATTTAAATGGTAAATATTTTAATTTTTATGTATGAGTTATTTTTTTGTTAATTAAGAACTATAAGATTTCAAATTGTTAATCATTTATGAAATAAAAATATTCTGATAGATAGCAATGAAAATTTGTACACTAATAATTAAAATTATAATTGTTATACCGTATAAATTACTACCGTATACAGAATGAGTATTCAAAATGATTGATAATTATTGATGGTTGTATACAATTATATATGTAGAATACTTGATCTAAATTCTTAAAAAACTTATGATAATTATAAATATTTATTATTATATAAAATTCCATAAATTATATAATGACCTACAATTTTGGCAACTACACATGTTTTCCTACACGAAAGTGAAATCTTTTCATAATTAGGTAAATATTGTTAACTTTCAACAAATAATTAGCAACAAATATAATAAAGTCATAATATGTACATGGAAAACGATGCTGTCATATGAAATAGAGATTTTACTAATAAAAGCAATGTTAGAAAATTTAATATTATTAAAAATGTGACATAGTTTTTATGCGAAAGATTGATTGCAAATAATTATATAAAAATTCTTGTCATCACAACAATTGTGTTCCAGTTATTAATCATTCAGTTTTGCAATGTTTGGAGAAGTTTACTAAATTGGAAATATTATTTTAAAAATGTAACAAATACTGTAATGCAATAGTCTAAGATATAGCTAATAAAAAATTATTTTATGTGGTAGCAATGAGTGCTTAATATGATTATGAATTGTTTTATTAGTCATTACAAGTAGTTAGCAGTAAATGTAATAAAACTCACTTTTGCTGAAAAAATTCTTGTCATCACAACAATTGTGTTCCAGTTATTAATCATTCAGTTTTGCAATGTTTGGAGAAGTTTACTAAATTGGAAATATTATTTTAAAAATGTAACAAATACTGTAATGCAATAGTCTAAGTCTTAGACTCTAAGATATAGCTAATAAAAAATTATTTTATGTGGTAGCAATGAGTGCTTAATATGATTATGAATTGTTTTATTAGTCATTACAAGTAGTTAGCAGTAAATGTAATAAAACTCACTTTTGCTGAAAACTTTCAGTACTNTCTAAGATATAGCTAATAAAAAATTATTTTATGTGGTAGCAATGAGTGCTTAATATGATTATGAATTGTTTTATTAGTCATTACAAGTAGTTAGCAGTAAATGTAATAAAACTCACTTTTGCTGAAAACTTTCAGTACTTCTGGCGTTATATTCCCAACCGAGAGTTGAATAGATATTTTCAGACAATTCATTTTTGTATTGCTTTACGGATAGACCTCCGGTAGAAGAACTGAGTTTATCATTGAGTCGAGTGATAGCACTAATAGCGGCCATCCATGGGATCAGATTGTCTTCATTCTTGATATAACTGATTAAATTGAGAAATGTTTGGTAAGGGATGAGTTCACTCTCGGCCAACATGGAGGCATCAAAAATAAGGTGCGCCCGGTTTACAGGCGATAGGGCCTCTCTATTAGTCTTCAATAAATCAGTTAATAGTTTCCAGTCTTTCTCCTCATAGTTAACGATATAAAAGCCGTATTCCTCGTCATTGAATTTGATCCACGAATCAGGAGATAATATACTATTCAATTTGATGGTCTCCTCACGCTTGTTGAGTAAATGACTGCCCGATTGCTTCTCCGATACATAAGTCACATAAATGTCCCAAAGAGTTGAATCGTCTTTAGTGACGATATTCTGATTATCAGTACTTAATAGAAAAATTTGTTGACTTAAAGTGATTTCATCTGATTTGTCTGAACTCCTTTTGACAGTCACTACGGGATAGCCTTTGACTTTAGTCCAGGGGTCCATAAAACCGCTGACACTTTTGATTTGTCCCGGATTCTCATCCACTATTGTCTGAATTGATTTCCACAGGTCTTCGGTCTTAGCGTTTTTCCACTTGTATTCCTCCAGATAAGCGATTATCCCTTTCCTGAACACATCTGAGCCGATGGCGTACTCAAGCATTCTTAAGACAGCAGATCCCTTGTTATAACTGATTGAGTCAAATATCTCTGTGATCTGATCCGGATTCGTGACCTCTTGTATGATTGGGTGCGAACTGTCCAACGCGTCGATTCTCATCACTCCATGCATGTCATCGTTCAGGAAGAAGTCCTGTACCGTCCACTCGGGATGTGTGGCATTCTCGCCCCTGTACTCCATATACGAGGCAAAGCCCTCATTGAGCCACAGGTCGTCCCACCAGTCCATTGTCACTAAATTGCCGAACCACTAGACATTTGGTTAAAATATTAATATTTGTGTTATTCTTATGGCAATGAATTCAAAGATAGTGATGGCATACCATGTGTGCCAACTCGTGCCCTATAACCCCGGCCACCCGTTTCTGTTCGCTGGCACTCGAAGACTCTTCACTATACAAAAGTGCAGTTTCTCTGAATGTAATGATACCCCAGTTCTCCATCGCCCCCGACACAAACACCGGAAGTGCCACCATATCTATCATTTATTTTTTAATATTATTTTTCAGATAATTATTAAAATATAAATACTAAATAAAACCTAATTTTTCCAACGGATAGTCAATTTCAAAATACTTCTCATAGTATTCAAGAATATTAATGGTAGTCGAGAGGGCGTATCGGGTCTTCTCGATCTCATCAGGTCTTGAAAACACCCGAACCTATAATAGTTGTCAATATTTAATGACAATCATATTCATGGCATGTATATTGTGTTACAAAACCTTTTTGCCTCTTTGTGTGGCGCTCTCAACATATTTGAAGTCAGAGATGACATACGCCACCAAATATGTGGACATTTCCACGGTTTCACTGAACACTGTCTTAACCCTCTTATCGTCATATAGTGTCCGCTCTGTTTGCACGCCATTGGAGATGGCATTCAAATCTTTGTCGTGTATAATAGATATACTATACTTTGCTTTTAGGTTGGGCTCATCGAAACAGGGAAAGGCCTGTCGAGCATATGTCGGCTCAAATTTAGTAGCGTAAAATTGTCTGTAGTTTGGAAATTTGTAAAAATTAATTTGCATTTTATACAAACATTACTATATTTGTTTTATAAATAATTAATGAATATGAAGTAAGAATATAAAACTCATTTCTAATATATTCAGAAATATCTGCAAAAATTAAAATATAACAATAAATAACTTTTCCTTTTCTAAAGCAAAGTATTTTAAGCCGATTAAACTCACTAATTATTATTAAATGCAAAACAAAATTAAATGTTATGCAATGGTGTAATTAAGAAAAAGTCATATAATCCTAATTTGCATGAAAACTAATTAAGAGTAAGCCTATTAATTAACTGTGCAATACTTTCTAGTATTGTAAATGTGGTATCATTTTGTTAAATA